TTGAGTTTCTGAGACGGTATCACTGGAGAAGTAGATTGTCCCATCTTCCTTCTGAGGAGTGGCTGGTGGGTATGAACCACAAGACTTCTGGTTAGCAGTCAAGATGCCTTAGGCATTATGCCACCAGAGCTCCTGAAACCTCAAAGTTGCTATATTTCTAGTTCTTTTATTACTATAAAGACCTAATTTCTTTCCCAGAGTTTATAAGCTCTCTATATGTCCTCATATGTATTTTATGTACCTATCTTAAAACATTAAGAGAGCTTATAAACTCTGGGAAAGACATTAGGTCTTGATAGTAATCAAAGAACTAGATATATAGCAACTTTGAGGTAACATTTTATGCATAGGAATAGAGGAAAAAATGGTATAATTTGGTGTTAGGTTGTATATTCTGATGCCACTGAAAGTTTGTATACTTTGAAAAGCAGCATCATTGATAGCAATGATTTTGTATATTTTTACATAAGGTTTCTGCCAGGAAAATTATCCAAGGAAAATAATTCAACAGATGAAAAAGCCAAATACATAAAGACATTTATATTAAAAGTAAAACCTAGAGACTTCATATTGTCCAATAGAGGGACAATTACTTTGGCTGAGGCATCAATAATGGATAGAATATCATTGTCTTAGTTCGCAGTACTGGATAACAGAAATACGACAATTTGATGGCTTTAAAGAACAGAAAGATTGTTTTCACAGTTTTTGAGGCTAGAAGTCTAAGTCAGGATCTCAGCTATGTTGATGTTTTCTGTGGGCCTCTCTCATAGTTTTGCCAACAATCCTTAGAGTTCCTTTGTTTATAGAGGGATGCTCACATGGTGTCTTTCTCCCTCCTGTGTGTGTGCCTATTCTGCTGTTTTTATGATACCAATTAGAAGTAATTAGGTTTAGGAGTCATCCTGCTCTGACATGAATTCACTAATATAACAACAACAACAACAGAAAAAAAACACCTACCTCAAAATAGTTTATATTTACAAGTATAGGGTTAGGACTTCAACACTTTATTTTTTGGGGGGACACATTTCAATCCATAACAATCAAAAGTAACCTCGGCATCAGGAATGTAGTCTGTCATTCCTGTAGCTCTCCACTGAACCCTGAGAAAATTACTTGGTACACAATTTCAGAGAACAATGTAATTTTGCTTACTTAAAGGTTTCACCTACTGTTTAGGAAAAAACAAAACAAAACAAAACTCACTGCTGTTAAGTTGATTCGACTCATAGCAACCCCTACTTGGGTTTCCAAGGCAGCATCTCTATGGAAGTAGATTGCCCAATCTTCCTTCCAAGGAGTGGCTGGTGGGTTTGAACTGCCAGCCTTCTGGTTAGCAGTCAAATCTGTTAGGCACTACACCACCAGAGCTCCTACTATTTAGGAAGCCAGGTTCAAAATAATTCTCAGAACAGATGCTTACTTGAAATAAACTTCAGAATTATGCATGTCTTCCTTATAGTTGCACAAGGAAGGTCTCATGGTTGTTTTGAGGTCAGACATACCAGATTTAATGATTACTTTGTAATGTAAAAAACAATGAAAACCCACACACACAACTTTAGAAATGTACGTTTCTAAAGTTTACAAATGTGTATTTCTTAACAATCACATGTACCCTCAATTTTGTAACTATTACCTAAATATCAACCAATCACCAAATTTTTACTGAAGTTCCTTGTATTTTCTTATAAAAATTCTCTGAACAGTCTCCTCCTTTGATCAAGTAGCTCAGAATCCTCTGGACTCTGTGAGTCCCACTTTGCAAATTACTTCATCTCTTAAAAAAAAAACAAAACAAAACCTCTACTTTTAATTTCAACCAGGCTCTGCCATTTTGCTCTTAAAAAACCAAACCAAACCAAACCAAACAAAAAAAACAGAGCTCTGGTGGCATAGTGCGTAAGGCATTTTTGACTGCTAACCAGAAGGCTGGCGGTTCAAACCCACCAACCACTCCTCAGAAGGAAGATTGGGCAATCTACTTCCCTAGAGATACTGCCTCAGAAACCCAAGGAGGGGTCACTGTGAGTCGAATTGATTCAAAGGCACTTAGCTCTAGGATACCATTAAATATTAAAATAACTAGGAGGCAGCATGGGAAAATACTCATGTCATGCTAGTTAAAAAGAATTTAAAATTGAATGCATATAATGGAACATATATTGCTCATCCTGTGCCAGGTGTTTTATACACCTGATCTTATTAAATTCTCAAACTGTCATTTTGTAGGATTTAGCTCCATAATTAAGGAAAAAGAAACTGAGGAAAAAGAAGTCACTAACTTCTCCATGTTCATACTTTCAATAAGTGGCAAGTCATTAAGTCTTTAGTTGTAGCACTAACTCAACTTTTTATTTCATCCAATTAATCATCTTTTTGGTTCCAAACACTTACTCTTCCAATGCTTCACATATTCAAACTGAATATGCAAAAAGGGAAATAGTTTCTTCAAGTTTATGGGCTCTTGGATTTTTGTTCCTCACCTTTCAAAATTTTCTTAAACTTTAGACCTATTTTACAAGACTAAAATTGAAAATACAGTTAAAGATGGAAGGCTGAGGCCTAGAATTGGACTCACTCCCATGGACTGGCTCTCAGCCCAACAGTAGAAAGACCTACATGCAGAACACCCATCTCAAGGCAATGCACCCACCTACCCTAGGGAGATACACCCCTTAGAGCAATGAGCCATGGGGTACCAGAGGGAAAGCATTCACATAGAGGGAAAGCTGGACAGACACGAGTGAATAGTTAAGAAGGGCACAGGGAGGGGTAGTCACAGGGACTGGAGAGGGTAGTCACAGGGACGGGAGGAGAGGAGAGTTTGTTACACTCAGGGATGGTAATCTGGGCGTGAAAGCAAATGTACAGAAACTGTTGAATGTAAAACAAATTTTGCTCTGTAAATTTGCACCCAAAGCACAATAAAATTAAAAAAAATATGCTACATCTATCTTGTTCAGCTCTCTAGGATACTCAGACTCTGCGGGAAGTGGGCATTCCTGAAGCTCCAAGGGGTGGGGTGGTGGTGGCGGCTCCAGGAGGTTGGGCTGGAGTCGCAAAAAAAAAAAAAAAAAACCCAACAACACCGCCTCGCTGCTTTACGGCATTGGCTCCGCCCCTACAGGTGCGGGAAGTCTGAAGCCGGCAAACATGGCCGCCATCAATTCCTTCCACCGGCCTATGGCCGCTCTGGCTGGGCTGTTGCTGTTTTCTTTCTGCAGCTTGGCCGCTAATCAGATCGAGGTAGGAGTCAGGTTCCACTAAGCGGCTGGGCCTTGGGAGGGCGGCTGTCTTGTGCCTGTGAGCGCCCCAGCAGATTTCCGATCCAGAGCAGCTGAGGGAATGCTCCTCTGAGTCCGCCTCTGACCCATGCTGGGGTGTGCCGCTCTTACGTGTGTGAAGTCTTTAGCAGGTGAAATACGGCTAAAGGGCAGATGAATTGTAGGAGTGTAGCACTTTCCTAGGAGCTCTGGTAGCATAGTGCCTAAGGCACTTGACTGCTCACCAGAAGGCTGGCGGTTCAAACCCACCAGCCACTCCTCGGAAGGAAGGTTGGGCAATCCTACTTCCGTAGTGATACTGCCTCGGAAACCCAAGGAGGGGTCGCTATGAGTCGGGGCCGACTCGATGGCACATAACAACAACAACAAGCACTTTCCTACTACTGAGTTGGAGACAGTGTTTCATCTCTGGCCCTGCCTTCCACTCTCTTTTTAAAACATAGTCATGGGACGTTCTGGACCACTTTGAAGCTTTGATTGTTGTCTCTGCTCTGAATATACCTCAGTCCGTTTCTACAATCTGTATCTTTAGCGTCAGATTCAGTCCTGCATAACCAGCTGCCTAAGGGATAAGGATAGTCAAAAGACTATCTGTTCCAAAGCTTTTATCTTCTTGCTTTAAAAATAAAAATAAAAAATAAAATAATAAAAAAAACCATAACAAATCAAGCACCCCTTTTCTGCATTTCCTAACCCAGTGTTGTTGCTCTTAAGCTGGGAACCTGGGAATTTTAATAAACTGCTCTCTCTAGCCTACATTCTAATCATTACTAAGTTATGTGTTCTGAACTTTTAAAATTTCACCTTTCCAGTTCCACTTCATTCAGGCACTGATCATTTCTTATTTCAGTATAGAAATAACTTTATCTTGTTTTTCCCAGACCTCCAATTCGGCCCCTTTGATGGTAGATTGATCTTCAAAAAATGTAAACCTGATCAGGTTATTTCTTCCATTGAATCATTGCAGTGCAGCAGGATTGGTCCCTGCCTGACTTTCCAGTCTTCCGTTTGATGGTGCCCTGGCCCCTTGGTCCCTGCACCCCTACATCAGCACCGTCAGCTTAGACTAGTGGTCTCCATCACACTTTTTGAACACACACCCCGACAGTTAAAAAAAAGTGCCCATTCTCCCTGTCTATGATTTGGTTACTCTCTCTCTCCATATATATATGCTCATGAATACTGTTAATTTATATACTTATTTATGAAACATTTTTAAAGATAAATATGAGTAAGTTCTATTTTCTTTCTTTACCCTAGTTAATAATTATCTTACATATTTCATTTTGAATACCATTCCTCTTTTTTGTGTTTACACAATTGCTGTGCTATTTTACATTACCATGTTTTGTATGTTTCCTATGTTCATTTACTAATAGGCAGTAAAAGCATAATCTTTATAAAACCTTTTCTAGACCCTACCTTTGCTTTTACTATTGTAGTTTGCACACTTGTTTAATATGTTTTAAATTTTGACTCACATCGACACTATAGGACAGAGAAGGAACCTGTCCCATAGGGTTTCCTAGGAAGTAAATGTGCATGGGAACAAATCATTATGTCTTCTTTAAATTTATCAAAATCTTGCAATTCCTTTCTGCCATCAGGAACCATGTTCTCTCTATCTGGAATGGTCTTGCCTCTCTTCATCTTTTGGATCTTAATATTACTTCTTAATATTAAGGCAAATCTTCCTAGATCCCCCTAGACCAGATTAGGTCCTTTAGTTATACTCTTGCATTATACTGTGAATCTTTCTTTTGTAGAATTTATAGTTTGCCATTGTCTGCTTAATGTGTGTCTATCCAATTGGACAGTTATCCCTTTGAAGGCCAGTACTATAACTGTTTTTGCCCATTGTGGAATTTTGAGTGCTCAGGGCAGTGCCTGGAGCATGGCACCCAATGAACTTTAATGAATGAATGAATGTTACCTTATAGTGTAATATGTTTGCATGCTTATCTTAAACTCTGGGATTCTTGAGGGACAGCCTCATGCTTTTCAGTGATTTTTTTTTTTTTAAATCACCGTACTTTACATGGTTTTTGGCCCATAATAAGGCTTCTGTTCACTATTTGTAGAATTAGTGAGTAACTATGCAGTGACTATATCTGTGTGGTGCAAATGGTTAAAGCATTCTGCTGCTAACTGAAAGATTGGCAATTTGAGTCTACCCAGAAGTGCATTGGAGTAAAGACCTGGGAATCTACTTCCAAAAAATAACCATTGAAAACTGTGGAGCACAGTTCTACTCTGATACACATAGGGTCTCCATGAACCAGAATTGACCCAATGGCAACTAGTTGGGCTTTTTTTTTTTTTTTTAAAGTGGTGTAAGAATTCTGAAGCTGGAAGGGACATTAGAGATTAATTGGGCTAATTCTTATTTTCACATGTGAAAAGTCAAGTCTAAAGAGCCCCATGAATTACACCTGCCTCACAGCTAGCTGGGAGTTAGGACCTGGGCTGAAATTCCCAAATCTTTGCTCTGTCCACTATATCATATTGTTTTCTTCAACATCTAGGTAGCTGTTAAGAGGGTTTTATTTTATCTATACGTGTGTGTGGAGCCCTAGTGGTGCAGTGGTTAAGGGCTTGACTCTTAACCAAAACGTTGTCAGTTTGAAACCACCTGCCACTCTGCAAGAGAAAGATGTGGCAATGGATTAGAGTTGATTCTGTTGAAATGAGTTAGGTTTTGCTTAGGTGTTTATCAGAAACCCACACAGAAATACAGACTTCAGTGAAATTTTTGTTTCATCTTGACATTTTCTTGTGAGCTGAAAATTATAGTAGCTAGAATTTGTTAAAGATTGCTGGGAGGTGCAAATGGTTTGTAGTCATTTACTAATGGAAGTCATCTAGCAACATCGCGAAAGGAAGCCTGGCAATCTGCTTCCATAAGAACACAGCCAAGAAGACCCTATGGAGCAGTTCTACTCTGTAGCACATGGTAACACCGTAAGTCATAAGTCAACACCATGACATTTCTTAGGCAATTACAATGTTCCAGTCACTATTATTACATTCTGTGGGTCATTAATATTATTACTGCTTTATAGATGGGGAAATAGAAATACAGAGAGGTTAAGCAAGTTTTCCTAAGAGCCGAGATGTGAACCCAGGCAGTCTGATTATCTGAGTCATAGCAACCTCATAGGACAGAGTAGAACTGGCCTGGCCCATAGAGTTTCCAAGGCTATAATCTTTATGGAAGCAGACTGCCACATCTTTCACCCAAAGAGTAGCTGGTGGATTTCAATTAGTAATTGAACATATAACCATGTGCCACCATGTCTTGGAATCAACTAGATGGTAACATGTATGGTTTTGGATTTTAGTCTGATTATTCTAGTAATTAATACTATTTGGGAACAGATCTGGAGTCAGTATGGCTTACATCCACCTTCTTTTAATAATTGTAATCATGTTTATTAGGTGTTAGAATGGCATTGGATACTGAGGTTTTTCATGTCTCAAGATGGCAAATATAATTTAGAATTAGTTCAATAGAAAGTGAAATGGGACATGGAAGTATGCTGGAGGATATAGTAATGAGTTCAAGTAAAGTAATTGAAAGCACCCAGTACGTTAGCAGGGACGAACACTGAATGAAATTTTAACAAGAAGAGTATTAATGTTATGTGTAGAATCAAGACATGAAATAAATCATTCATAATTAGAAGACTGGAAAATTAGAAGCATTTGAGGAAAACCTGGCTGTGTTTATGATAACAATATTTAAAAATAGACACCATCCACAATTCTCAAAAAAAGTGAAACTGCAATCTTTATGTTTCAACACATTTGTCTGATCCTTGATGTTTATAATTGTGACAAATATTAAAGAATAATTTCAGATTTTAGAGAATCAAAAGAAATGATTTTTCAATGATTATTGTATTAAAAAGATTATCTGTGAGAAATTTTGAAAAGAAGTGATTCTTTTGTTTTGGTTGAAGATGTAGGGAGGTTATGTTCTTTTTCACAGTAAACTTATGGATATAAAGACTGTCTTTAGGCTATTACTTCAAGTGAAATATTAATGTTTTAGAAGTTCCTGGTATAAATATTTTTATCTGACAGTCTCATTGCAGAGTGACTGATAGAGGGATTGGGTTATTAGAGTACAACCTAAAAAGAACTTTTAAAATTTGTAACTTTATGGTAGACCTTTATATATTATATTCTTGCTTAACTCTGAACCTCTCATCTATGTGGTTTCAGTTTTCTAGGAGGGAGTCTTGCCTTGTCCACTACCAGTAAGGGTATTAATACCATGCATTCATTCAAAAATATTTATTCAAAACCTACTGTGTGCCAAGTTTACTTGAGATAAATCAGTGAGTGAAACGAATAAAAGCTGCAATTCTCCTTGACCTTAATATCCTACTGGACAAAGACAAACAATAATACAAATAAATAAGAATGACATATAAAGTAAGAAAGTGATAAACAGAAATGGAAAAAAGAAGTCACAGTAAGGAAAATGGTGTGATAAGGTGGCAGTTTTAAATGATACCCTTATTAAATTTGTTAAACAGACAAATCTTATGTCCTTTATTGATCATGCTTTGTCTTAGTTGTCACGGTACGGAAGATACTAAGATGTGATTTAATACAGCTTTCAGTTGTATCATGCTTAATCATTTTTCAAAGCAGAAGCTCTTGCACATGCATCTTTACAGCCTTCTCAAAAGAGCACTGTGATGTAGGGTTGGCATTGCTTTCATTTTGCATGTGAAGAAATTGAATCCCAAAGATGTTAACTATCTTGTTGAAGGTTACTCTGTTAAGTCAGTGTGCAGATCAAGACTGAACCACACATCTCCAGATTTCCAGGTCAGGGCCTTTTCCCCCATATCTTCAACTACAACTTCTTTTGAAATTTTTGGCCTACTGAGATCTCCATAAACTTACATTATGATGAACTATTATTATTACAACTATAAAAAGTCCATAAATCTTTGCTGCCTTTTATCAGTCTTTATCTTTGGAAATTGTGGCTTTTTATCCTAATCTTTTTACTGTTATTTGACTGATAGGATCAAGCAGAACAGTTCTTTAGAAGTCGCCATACAAACAACTGGGCTGTACTGGTAAGTATATTCTACAGAGATATATGCTGCTATTCACATTAGATTTATGTCTGAGAAATTTTGTGTGAATCTGTATTTGAAAATAAAAATTTATGTTATCATAGAAATTCTGTAGCATAGTGGCTAATCCACTTGCCTGCTAACCAGACGGTTGGTGGTTCAAACCCAACAGCCACTCCTCGGAAGGAAGGTTGGGCAATCCTACTTCCGTAGTGATACTGCCTCGGAAACCCAAGGAGGGGTCGCTATGAGTCGGGGCCGACTCGATGGCACGTAACAACAACAACAACAACTATTAAAAGCAAGTAGAAACTAATAATTTTACTTACTATCTATAATGTTGGCAATCTGCTTCTGTACAGACACTGCCTTGGAAACTCAAGGAGGGGTCACTGTGAGTCAAAATTGACTGGATGTCATAGATCACTCATTTTTAATTTTTCTTAACTTTTTATAAAAATAAGTATAATCATTGTAGAATATCCAGATTATGTAGCAAGGTTTAAAAGAAGATAGGGTTTAATTTTATGTTATATGAATTTTACCTCAGTGGGGGGGGGGAGAAAATAAAGAAGAGAGAAAATGTTTTTGAGACCCACATCCCAGAGTCAACATTTTAGTAAATGTTTTTCTAGTCTTCTCTTCTCTGGTGGCACAGTAGTTAAGTACTTGGCTACTAACTGAAGGGCGAGTGGTTCAAACCCACTAAGTCTATAGGAGAAATATTTGGTAGTCTGTTTCTGTAAAGATTACAGCCTCAAACACCATGGGACAGTTCTGCTCTGTTCCATAGGGTCACTATGAGTCAGAATTGATTTGATGGCAGTGAATTTGGTTTGATTTCTTTATACATAAGCATAAAGTTATATAGTTGTATGATTTTATGTAAGTGGAATGATATTATATCTGCTATTTTGTAATTCCTTGGCAATATATTTTCTCTCTTTTTTTCTCCTCTTACCAATATATCTTGGGATCTTTCCTTTCTAATAGATATGGACATGCCTAATATTTTCAAAGGCTATATTGTTTTCTATTTTGTGAATGTACCATAATTTCTAGTTCACATACATTTAGGTCTTAAACTTTTCATCATTTTTTTAACAGGTCTTTGTTGAACATTCTTAGCCTTATATCTTTGAGAACTTGACTAATTTTCTTCCTAAAATTAATTTCTAGACAATAGAATGTGAAGTCATAGATCATAATTGCCCTCTGTAAAGGCTGAACCTCTTTTTCTAAACCCAAATCAACTACATTATTACTTTTTATCATTTTTAAAACTGTTAGATAGCAGATTAAGTTTTGTTTTTATTTTCAATACTTTAATTATTAGTGAGATTTGAGATTTGCTTATTGGGCCATTTTGCTTTTTTTTTTTAGTGTAATTACCATCTTTAATTTATCTGTATTCATAATTTTGTGTTTTTAGTTCCTCAAATTAGAATACATTAATCAATTTTGTTTTTCTTATGCTTGGAAAATATTTGGATAGTAGTGTTAGTACTCTGGTTTCATTTCATGACATTTACATGATTAAAAGATACAATAATAATGATTTAATGAAAAAGAAGTGTAAGAGTAGACTGAAAGAAAGAAAAAGGAAGTAAGGGATAGGTTCAAAGAGGCAAGAAAGGAAGATGATTTTTGTGAAAAAAGAAGGAGAGCAGAGAATGTATAGCATCTCAAAGCCACTAGGAAGAAAGCTGGGGTACACAAGCTGGAAGAGTATAGTGGAAATAAATGTAAAGAAGCTGGACGAGGGGTTCAACTAAAAGTGTGGGACAAACTATATAAGACTATAATTACTAAGGCTAAAAGTAGGTTATCTGGATGTTTGAGGTTTTATAAGATTATGGAGAATAGTTTTATAAAGGCATGTAATTATTTACAGGTTGCTAAAAGTAAATAAGGATTATGGTTGCTATACACATTTGTAATATAATTGTATGGCAGTTAAATAGAGCATTGTAACATGGGTTCATGGCTCATTTTCTTGTTCTCTGAGAGAGAACAATTTTTTTTTTTAAATTTTTGATTGTGATTTGGTGCAAATTTACGAAGCAGATTCGTTATACTCTCACAGTTCATGCACATTGGGTTTCACGCTCATTACCATTACAATCCCCAACCATAAAAACTCTCCTCCCACCTTCTCCCAGTGACTACCCCTTCCCAGTGCTCCTCCTTTCTGTGGAAAAGACAGGAAAGTCTTTTCTGTTGATCCAGCTTTTTGAGATGGAACACTTATATACTGCTGCTCACAAGAGATCTTAAGAAGGAGTTAAACAAAAGCTACTTGAGATAGGGAGACATTTTTTCAACAAGTAGTTAAAAGCAGGGAATATTATCAGGAGCCAGGCCATGATTCACCAATTTGAGAGAATAATCTTACTCTGTTGAGAACTAAGGGCATTTCTGTGATAGTCTCTCTATGGGGAATTCCCTTTTCTAAGGGGGTAATTGCATATGTGCAGACTATGAATTGCCAAAAGGGCTCATCCTTTAGATCTAAGAGTCTATTAACTTATTCTACATGCACATTAAAGCCTTCCTTGTTCTGGGAAATCTTTAACCAAGCCACTCTCCATATCAGTAAATTGGGTCCCAGATGAGAAATAGAGGATGAAAAAGAATTGTTACTGAGCATTTTACAACACTGTTGTTTTTATATTTTGCTCAATATTTTATACATTAATTCATACTTAGCATGGTGAAACTTCAATAAATTGTATTTTCTTAAGCAGAAAATTATGTTCTGTGTTTAAGCCTATTCTTGACTTTTTATTATGTACTGTTACCAGGGCCGAGTTGAAAGTTCTGAAAATACACTTCTTTCAGTATTATGTAGTTGTAATAAAAATCTAGCCTGTCCCTAGCCCCCACTTTGAATTAATTTGTTTTTAGTCTTGACTGAATGATCAGAGGGAAGTGAAGCCTTTTTGCTCTTGTACAAGACCTGAGTAGTTTTTCACCACCAGAGGGAGATAGAGGGAAAGTTAGATTCCTTTTTAGTCTCAGAATCTGCTTTGTGTCTCTGTTCAATTAAAAAAACATTATAACGATAACTCATGCTCATGATGAAAAAAAGTACAGTGAGGGAGGGTAGGAACTGAAAAGTTAATGTCTCCTTGAGCACCTCATTTTATTTTCTAGTGATAACTTCCCCCATTTTTTTTTCCAGCAATAACTTCTGTTATCAGTTTCTTGGGTGTGCTTTCAGAAATTTCCAGTGCATATAATCAATTTGTGTCTGTTAAAATACTACATGCTTTTTTTGGTTGTTTTTGATAGCATCATAATTTATGGTAAGTTGATATTTCCTGTTCCCTTTTGTTTTCCCACCTTATTTTCCTGTTAGTAAACAGGTGATAAAAATGAAGATAGTTTCTTAGCTATATGCTTGTTAAATGTAATAATACATGTGAAAAGCCTTCTGTGTGTAGAAAATTATATGAAAAATACTGGTTTTTATTTTGACTAATTCAGATGTGGGAGCTCTGGTGGCATAGTGCCTAAGGCATTTGACTGCTAACCAGAAGGCTGGTGGTTCAAACCCACTAGCCACTCCTCGGAAGGAAGATTGGGCAATCTACTTCCACAGAGATACTACCTCGAAAACCCAAGGAAGGGTCACTTTGAGTTGAATCGACTAAAAAGTTACGAAACCTTTAGATTCTTTGCTGTTGCTGAGCAGTGATTTGGTTTCCAGCCTCCCCCCACTTCCAATTTTTTTCAAATACAGATAATGTTATAGGGAAAAATCCTGATATATTTATTTTTGTATACTTGTATGAGTTAAATCAAAATATATGTATACATTTTCCAATTTGATATATGTTGCAAATTACCCTCCTAGAAATTTTAAATTAATTTACATCCCCATCAGTAATGTATAAGAGTACTTATTTCCCCACATCCTTGCCAATATTGGCATTATAAGACTTTTGCATACTTAATCAATTTGATTTAACAAAACCAAACCAAACCTACTACCATTGAGTTGATTCTAACTCATAGCGACCCCCATTGGGTTTCTGAAGTGATAAATTTGATGTATATTTTTAAAATTATGACTGCAGTTGAGCATCTTTAAGTGTTTTATTGTCCAGTGTTAATACTTTTGTTATGAAATGCTAGCTCTTACCCTTTGTCCATATTTCAAAATTGGATAGTTCATCTTTTTCTTACTGAGTTATAATGAAAGGAAAGTAGCTCTTCTTATTATTTTGACTTTTTCTCTTGAGTTAGGATTTTATGGTATTTTTGACAGTTAATTTTGCATTTTTATGTAATCAAAACGTTGAGTATTTTTTTTATTGGCTTTCAGGTTGAGAATTCACTTTAAGAAAAATACCTTACAATTTTCTCTTTGGCAGGGGTAAGAGCATTTATGGTGTTCTTTGAACTGTCATTATACCTACTATCATGTGATAGGAAACAGGAGGGTGCTTGGTGGGTATACTTCTAACCCCTATCTTTGCTTAGTTTCTTAGACTGGATTCCCAAGAAAGCTAACTTTTTTTTTTTTTTCCATTTTATTGTGCTTTTGGTGAAAGTTTGCACAGCAAATTAATTATTGCATTCAATAATTCATACACAAATTGTTCTGTGACATTGGTTGCAATCCCCACAATGGGCTATCACTCTCCTTATTTCCTCCCAGCCTCCCCATTTCCATTCATCTGGTTTCCTTTTCCCTCCCTGGCTTCTCATATTGATTTTAGGCAAATGCTGCCCTTTTGGTCTTGTGTAGCTGATTGTTCAGAGAAGCACATTATTCACTGGTGATGGTGTTTGTTTTATAGTCCCCTCTATTAAAGAAGCTGTGATGGTGTGTAGTGTTTAAGGCACTTGGCTGCTAACCAAAAAGGTCAGTGGTTTGAACCCACCAGCCACTCCATGGAAGAAAGATGAGACAGTCTGCTTCTGTAAAGATTTACAGCTTTGGAAACCCAGAGGAGCTTGCTGTGAGTTGGAATCTGCTTGGTGGCAGTGAG